CTGCGCGCGCCCGCCGCCCGCAGCGCCCCTCCCGCGGCGCGGCCGCTCCGCCGCGGCCGCGCCGCGCGCAGCCGCCGCGAGGCCGAGGCCGGCCGCCGCGGCAGCGCCTCTGCCTCGTCGTCGCGGTGCTCGTGAAGGAGGAGGGAGGAGGAGGAGAGGGAGGAGGAGGAGGAGGAGGAGGAGAGGAGGAGAGGAGGAGGAGGAGGAGGAGGAGGAAAGGAGGAGGAAGGAGGGGAGGAGGAGGGGGAGGAGGGGGAGGAGGAGGAGGAGGTGGTCGTCGGCTCGCGCCGTTGTCGCGGCCGTCGCCGCCGCGCGCTCGTCGTCGTGGTGTTCGGCGTCGGCGTCGGCGCCGCCGGCGGCCGCCGCGAGCCCGCGGCGCCGGCGGCGGCCTGCCGCCGTGGTCGCGGCTCTGCCTTGGCGCTGACCGCCGCCGTCGTCGCAGGTCGTCGAACTGTCGGTCGAGGAGCCTCCAGTGGCCTCCCATGCCATCTCGCTGGCTCTTGCGAATCGATGCTAACCGACGCTACTCGACGCCAAACCAACGACGCTAAATCGGCGCTCTCCCACCGACCACCAGACGCGAGCGCACGCCGGTGCACTCCAAAGACAGAATTGTGCGGACATGCGAGACGCCAACCCACGCTTGATGCATTCAAAAACGGAATTGTGAGACACACGATGCTATCATGATTTGCGAACGCAGAAGCCAGAGGAGGCATCCCTCGGAGGCCTTCGGAGGCCCTCGGAAGGCCCTCGCATGCCCTCGCAGGCCCTCGGCGGCCCTCGGAAGCCCTCGGCAGCCTCTGGCGGCCTTCGGAGGCCTCCTCGGGTGGCCACCAGAGGCCTTCGGGGATATCGCCCCCGTCTTGCGCCGCCGCCGCCGATCGAACGAGACGTCGCCGTCGTATCCATCGATCGATCGATCGGAAGTAGTCGCACCGGACGCTTCTCCTAGATCTCGGCCTGCTGCGGCCTCTGAGGCCTCTGGGGCGGTGGCGGCGGCGGCGGCGGCGACGACGACGACGACGGACGACGACGACGGACGACGACGACGGCGACGACGGCGACGACGACGACGACGGCGACGACGGCGACGACGACGGAGAAAAAGATCGACCAAGGCAGACCCCGGGAATGGGCCGGACATCGATTTTTGGGGCGGGCTTTGGCCCCGAGCGTCGTCGATTGACCAATCGAGGATCAAGGGGAGGCCTCCAGAATCCTAGGATACAGTAGGGGCTCGACCACAAGAAAACTTCCACAAGAAACCCAACCCTGAGGCCCCAGGACGTCCAATGATTTTTGGTATGGGAACGTCACGTACTCCATAGCAAAACCATCGAAACCCAAGGAAACCCAGGGCACCCTGGAGGCGAGCAGTGTGTTTCTTGGCATGGGCCTCCACTGTACTTGCCTCGGAGACCTCTGGAGACGTCGTCTTCGTCAGAGTCGGCCTCGTCGGCATCGTCGACGTCGACGTCGTCGCCCCCTCGCCGCCAAAGAGGAGGGGACCTCGACCTCGATCTGCGTCCGGATTTCTTGGATCCGCGTTGGGCCCCCCCTCCCTGGCGAGCGGAGCGCGCCAGGGGCCGCGCCTCCTGCGGGGGGGCCCAGCGCGGATCCACGAAATCCAGCGCGCTCCGCGCGCCGGGGTGGTGGGCCTGCGCAGATGCAAGAAATTGGCGCGGAGCGCCAAAAGTTTATGTGCATGGCGTTGCTTCTTCTTCGAGCGTTGCCTAACAGCACATCTTGTCCACCAGAGACAACGGCCGATGTTGGACAGGCGGCCTCTGGCTCAACCCAGCGAGGTCCTCGGCGACGCCGACCGCGAGTCCTGGCTAACACTGAGCAGGACATGCTGTCGGTCTTCGTACGACTGGGCTGCTGGAATGAGGCACGAGAAATCAGGAACGGAGACCCCTTTTTCAACCCCAAAAGTACCTGCGTGCACGAGGAGGGCTTGAAGAACAGCCATGGAAGGACCTGCGGAACATCGAGCCCCCTTCGAACCCGAGCTGTTCCTTATCTCAGCGTCTTGACTGTACCCCCTCTTTCCGTACCCTTCTGTTCCTCTCCTCGTACTTAAGGACCACATCCCAGAAATAACTTCGAGCACCCAGCAAAGCCCCGAAACTGTGCCTGCCCGAAACACTGGCGAGGTGTCGAACGAGGACCGCCTCCCAGGCTCCGACACGTGAAAACCGCCCAGTTTCGACACTCTCTTGGTGCTCAAAATTCTTGCTGGTACCCATGTCGATCGCACCGACTCTTGAGCAGGGACCGACCGTCCCAGCATTCCTATGGGCCTACTACTAAATGCTCTTAGAATCCAACCACTTTCGACAAAAACAACCGTATTCTTATAACATAACCCCATGCGTTAAAACCGAACCGCCCCAGCCAGAAATGTTCAAATAACATCTCGTGGAGACCGCAAAGGTTCTTAGAACATTGTTTAGTAGGCCTATGACGAAGTACGCCAAGACGCTTCGCCACTGCTTGAGACTCACGACCCCCCCGTCGCCGCCGGCAGCCTCCGAGCAGCCCGCGGCAGCCCGCCCCCGCCACAGACGCTGGCCGTCGGGGCGGGCGGGGCGCGGCCACCGCGCCAAGCGCCGCGCTGCGCGGCGCCGGCGGTGCCGCCGGGGCCTGGCCGGGCCGCCGCCGCCAACTGGCCGCTCGGGGTCCTCCTCCTCCTCCTCCTCCTCCTCCTCCTCCTCCTCCTCATCCTTCTTCCTCCTCCTCCTCCTCATCCTCCCTCCTCCTCCTCCTCCTCCTCCTCCTCCTCCTCCTCCTCCTCCTCCATCCTCTCTCCCTCCTCCTTCTCCTCCTCCTCCTCCTCCTCATCCTCATCCTCCTTCTTCATCCTCCTCCTCCTCCTCCTCCTCTCCTCCTCCTCCTCCTCCTCATTCATCCTCCTCCTTCATCCTCCCTTCCTCCTCCTCCTCCTCCTCCTCCTCCTCCTCCTCCTCCTCCATCCCTCCACTTTCATCCTCCTCCTCCATCCTCCTCCTCCTCCTCCTCCTCCATCCTCCTCCCATCCTCCTCCTCCTCCTTCATCCTCCTCCTCCATCCTCCTCCTCCATCCTCCTCCTGCATCCTCCTCCTCCTCATCTTTCCATCCTCCTCCATCCTCCTCCTTCATCCTCCTCCTCCTCCTCATCCTCCTCCTCCTCATTCATCCTCCTCATTCATCCTCCTCCTTCATCCTCCTCCTCCTCCTCATTCATCCTCCTCCTCCTCCATCCTCCTCTTCCTCCTCCTCCTCCTCCTCCTCCTCCTCCTCCTGGGTCCCCTTCGAGCGGAGCGCTTGCGCATTCTGCTCTGCGCCGCGCGGGGGCGGTCTCTTCGCGCTCCCGCGCCGCCCCCCTGTGGGGAGGAGCTGCTCTTTCCGGCCCAGGCCGCGAGGCGCAGGCTGGTCGGAGGTTCCGCTGGGGCTGGCGGCTGGAGGATCGGTTCGTCGGTCTGCGCACGGGGCGAGGAGGAGGAGCAGGAGGAGGAGGAGGAAGAGGAGGAGGAGGAGGAGCAGGAGGAGGAGGAGGAGAAAGTGGGGGAGCGACATGACCATCAAATCCGCATCTCTGGTTGCTTCCAGGAGCGGGGGAGACCAGGTGGATGTCAACGGCTGGGCCCCCGCAAAGGATGGAGGGTGGTCGCCGCCAGCGGGGCCGCGTGCTTCTTGTCGGCTGTCATGTCCGCTGACCTGCCTGATGCTATCATGTAGAGCTGCGACGCTCATCTCATCCAGCATGGCGGCGCGAAGCGCTTGACATTAGCGCGGTCTTGTCTGAATTGCTTAAAACCACACGCATGCAGCTACCACCGTGGAGGAGGCCCCCCGGCTGGCCTGGCAGGGCACCTGGAGCAAGGCCATGCCAAGAAACGCCGAGAGAGGGCCGGCGTGGCCGAGAGATGGTCAAAACTGTGCCTGGGCCGCCATGGCTGCAGAGAAGAGTCGCACTGGCGCGCGCAGGCCGGGCGATCGAGGAAGAGACTGCAGGACGAGCGGGGTCGGAGCCGAAAGGGAGACGGGTGACGGGAACTAGTGAGGACTTGGAGGACAGGTTGAGGAGTCAGGGCTATGATCGGGCTTGGGAGACCTGAAGGCAGATTCCACGGCAGTGCGAGCGCGGCAGTGCAGAGGGGGGGCAGGGATCGACAAGTTGCAATGACTGAGCGCGCTGCCCTTCGCAGATGAAGGCCGATGTGGAGGGTACAACGATGACCAAGATATGAACAGAGGTGGCACATGCTCTACGATCTGGTATCCCCATCCATATTCCAACAAGTAACCCTGGCTCCCGGACCCCAGCATCTGAAAGGCAAGACCATGACGGAAGAAACTATAAGCATCAATCTGCGCTAGCAAAACTGAGCTTGACTGGATGCATCTCATGGAGTGTTGGGGCCAACTTCTGGCTGGCGGTAGATTTGCTTGAGCGCGCGACCGTAAGAACGTGTTGAACATAACGCCAGAACGTGAAACAATCCCTCCCACTCCAAACACCTTCCGTGTAAATGCTTCCCACCAAACGCGACGGCTCTGGGCGAGCAAAGTGTAGGCGGTGGAAACGAAGGACAAGGTGGTGGGGACGGAGAGCAGAAGCTGACAAAGGTCCGAAAACAAGACGTCAATATCGACACGAGCGGGGCGGCGCGTGCAGGATATACTGCCGCAGTCGTGCAACCTGAAGATATGTTGTTTGCCAACGAACGCCGATGGGTGTTGTCGCGCGCAGCATGACTCCGCGAGTCCCCCTTTACAGAGAGACACCAGTCGTCAGAGCCACAGTGGAACGAGGCGTGAGTACATGTACAACCCAGTGTACTTAGGCGACTACCACAAGACTCGCCATGAACTGCGCGCTGTGCCGGATAGAAGCAGCAGCATACATTGGGTCAACAATAAAGTCCGGGGAAAATGACATCGCCCCGCAAAACAAACCTGGCAGGACCCCAGACTTGGCGGGATGCAAATGGGGGGATAAGTACAGATGGGG